ACTCGCTCACTCGCTCGATCCCACTCGCGCGCCACTCGCGCACTCGCTCGCTCCCACTCGCACGCCACTCGCTCACTCGCTCGCTCTCGCTCGCGTGCCATTGGCGCACCCGCGCGCCCTACTCGCACACTGTCAACGCAAAATAATTTTACAACGCGCTCGATTTAGCTAATCTATATACTAATATTTTTTAAAGGGTTTTAGGGGCCAACCCAGTACTTTGATTCAAACGTTTTGCTACCTTTCTGTCACTTTCCTGCCGCCTTGGTCTTGGTAGTCATATGGTAGTTTCCCAGAATAGGGGACCCCAATATAGAAGCCAAAATGCTATACGTCCTCCTTATTATAGGGACCTCCCGAAAAAGGTAACCCTAATTTTGGGAAACCCCCAATATTCTCCTTGCTGCGGTGATGATGACTTTTGTTACGATAGCACATATTATGAATATCACCCATGAAGCAGTTTGGAACCTAGCTGACAGAGTGCAGCACGTGTTCGTGCAGAGGCTTTCCGCTTAGAGTTTAACAAGGCCCTGAATTATTAAGCCTTAAACCCTAAACCCTAAACCCTAAAGCCTGAAGCCGAAGCCTGGAACCCTAAACCAGAGAGCGTTAACCGAACAACTTTCATCCTAGAGCCTAAATATGTTAAGGGAATATCCCCCTGTAATGGAGAATCAAATGGAAAAGAACATGGAAAATGAAATGGAAACTGGGGGAATATAGGGGTTTAAGGAACTTAAATATATGCCCATTATGGTAACTTAATTAAGTCTTAAATCTCCACTAAGGCGGCCGTGGATGCCATCGCAAGACCGATCTCCATCAGTGAAGAGTCCCACCTTTGATCCGGACCGTTTAGGGCTTGGGGTCTAGGATTTCAGGTTCAGTGTTTAGGGTCTAGGGGTTTGTGTTTAGGGTTTAGGGTTGCGGAACTAGGGTTTAGGCCCTGGGCTCGGTGCTTAGGGTTTTGCATCCATGGCCAGGTTCTGTTCATGGAATGTGTTGCGTGCTGCTCAGGAGCTCTATGACCACTGCTGAAGTTCAATAGCACGATGGTGTTGCTGAGTGGTTGTAAAGGGGGTGGTCCCCGGAAAGACCGCCTTATATAGGACTTTTGAAGAGAGGTAGGTCTAGAAAGCTTGAGGTTATCGGAGGATTTTTGTAATCCCAATCCCTAGCATAGGTGCCCATGACTGCCATATGACTCAGGGTTCACCGATATTGTCTTCTTCGAGTGTACATGGGGAGCCTCCAGACTATGGAACCCTGAACCGTAAATCTTAAAATCCTCCTTCAAATTAAGCAGCCTAATCAAATCGCTCCTGGGCCCGGGCAGTCGTCAAAGTCATGTGTAGTCAAAACAGAAACCATGACCCCTAGGTAAACCTTCAACCCCTAAACCCCTAAACCCTAAACCCAAAGCTAATGTGAGACCCGTAAGAGAGAGCAGCAGGACTTCATCGGTGCGGACATGGATCAGGAGATCTCCTGAGAAAGACTCCAATGTTCAGGGGTTTGAGGTCTGGGGGTTGAGGGGCTTACGCCCAACCACAAACCAAACAAAAATCTAGGTTTCTTGCAGATGCAAGCTAGTGGGGGTACTGTAGGAATGAGTCTAGCTCGCCCAGTTGGTTTTCGCCTTGTGGGCCCGCCCAGATGGAGCCTGCTGCAAAACTCGTCCGAAACCCTAAAGCATGTGTAGCTGCAGGGAATGAGGGAATGATGGCAGGGATCACTCCAACAGACCCTGAATCTGAACCTTCCTTGCTACTGTGCATTGCCTGGACCATGGGCATTGTATTTTTGAGATTGCCACCAAGCAGAACTAACTAACCCCAAACCCTAAACCCTAACTAGGACACACAATCAGAAATGGAAGGACCTTCACGTCCAAGAGGGGGACCGGGCTGCTCTTTGTCAATAATAGCCCTGCATAGCTGAGCTTAGCTATAGTTTAGGATTATAGTCAATAGTCCCTTTTAAGTAGATAGAATATGGGGTATATGGGGATCTTACTAGAAAATCCACTCAAAGCTAGATTCTATCTACTGAAAGGGGACTATAGGCAATTACCATCCACAGTAAGGATGGTCTCAGGTGGAAGTCGGGTACATTTCAAGAGATTACTTTTGACATGAAGCAGGTTTTTATCATTGGTTACTGGTGAGCGCATACAGGATTCCGTAGGACTTTTGGTGAGAGTACAATGGTGAGACCTTGAATACGAACCATGGGTAGATGTTGTATACTGCCCCCTTTCCAGCTGGATAGTCTTCATGATATGACAAAATAGAACCCTTAATATTACCCCTATTCTAGACTGTTAATGGGTGGGGGCAGGGCCCAACATGAATGTGTAGGACCTGACTCTATCGGAGATGTCCACGCACGGCTTCAGTCTTGGCCCGGAGCTCAGGAACGGGAGAGCCCCTCGAGATGGACTTGAAAGCTTGCTGTTTAACCCATAGCCCATGTTGTGTTGGATCGGGTTTAGGGTTTCGGGTTTAGGGCTTAGGATTTACGGCATGGTATGGCTCAAGCCAATGCCTCAGATACGTTTTTGCAGGAAGAAGATGTTGCTTTGACTTGGATATCAGAGCCTGTAGATCAAGGCTTTCCTGCTGTAGGTGCTCTCCCTGAAACAAGTATGGAACTTAGTATAGGCCACCTTAACACGGATAGCCGTCTTTGTTTGTGAGGCTTTATTAGTGCTTTGGAGGTATCCTTCGCACTGTTGAGGACATGGAAGCATCCTGGTAGGGAGGCCGCACATGTATCCGCGGGAGGTATGCCAAATTCCCTTAGCAGCTCTAGTGCTGTTCTCTGGGTCACGAGAAGCAGGCCCGTTGCCGCAGAAACGCGCGCACCCGGGTAGCAATAGCACTCAAACTTGTACTTCTACTAGCAAGGCCTGCAACGAAAATAGAAGTAGCAGAGTTGAACAACAACATTCAAAACCCCACACCTCAAACACAGTGAGCTATCGTCTAAATAAACTCCTTAAAGGGAGGTATCTAGGGAATTCTATAATGGATTACTGTAGGGGAGTTTGGACCTATAGCTCAGTGATGATGATGGTGAGGGCCAGTTCCTTCTATGGACTCGGCGATTGCCTCCTTGGTGGAGAGGGCCTCGGGCTCAAGGGGGTTAGGGTTTAGGGTTTAAGGGTTAAGGGTTTAGGGTTTAAGGGTTTAGGGTTTAGGGGTTTAGGGTTTAGGGTTTAGGGGTGGCAGCAAAGAGAACCAGATGCAAAGGGTTTAGGGGTTTACTGCAACTTCTGGGCAGGAGGCACAGCAGGTGGAGTTCGGGTGTTTAAGCACTAGAAAGACAACCCAAATCATTGTATAGTCCCCCATGGCGTTGGGTATATTATAATAAGATTCCCATATACCCCATATTCTATCTACTGAAGGGGGACTATAAGATGTTTTTGGGCGAAGGGGGGTTAGGGTTTTGGCAGGCCAGGTGCAAGTCAAGGATTTGGCAGAGTTGAAGAAAGGTAGGTGGGGTTGCAGAAAGGTAGGTGGGAGGCAGCAAGCCCTAAACCTTGAACCCTAAACCCTCGGCTTTAGGGTGTGCGAACCCAGATGCAAAGGGCAAAACCCTCAATCCTCATCCCTTAACCCCAATCCCTGTGGGTATGGACTGGAGGTTTGTTCAACTCGGGGCATGCCTGGACATGGCTTTGGGGATGTAGAGGGGCTTAAGGATGGTAGACCCCAAAACCTAAACCCTAAACCCCTGAACCCTAAACCCCTGAACTCTAAATCCCTAAACCCCTGGACCCTAAACCCCTGAACCCTAAATCCCTGAACCCGAAACCCCTGAACCCTAAATCCCTGAACCCGAAACCCCTAAACTCCTAAACCCTAAACCCCTAAACCATACAGCAGTAGGAGATGGCTTCAGGATAGTGGTTTGGGAACTTCCTAAGGCACGCCTCTGCCGCGATGAGTCCGCAGTTTTGGCAATCATATCCTGCTGCCCTCTAAGAATGGGTGTTCTGCATGAAGACTTCCGAGCTTAGGTCCAGCTCCCCCCCCGGCCCCCCCCCAAGGAGTCATGGTGAATATAGTGAGGCTTTGTAGGGTTCAGTCCCAGACAGCACGTGTATGGGAGCTTATTTATGCGGGGCTTGCCAAAACGAGGGCTTTCCGCTTCGTTTCCCAAAGCGCCGAATTACTATCATCCTGATAGAGTGGGAACCTGAACAGGCAAACGAGCGTGATTTACGGCTGAGGGTGTTTTTGATTTGGCCCTGCTCTGGGGTCACTTCCAAAACGGGTTAATCGTTACCTTCCCCGAACCAGCATGGAGACAAAACAGGTCATATGAGCTATAGTCTAAATTCCTAGTATTCCCCGGAATAACCCCTATAATACTTGCGACTATAACTTATGTGAAGACTCCTTTCCTTGTCGGCCTTTACATGGGGGTTCCATGTCAACTGGCCAGGACAGGTGGGCCTGAGTCTTAACAGCTACCCTCGGCAAGTTGTGATGCCCATGGTTCTCCTTAAGCGTACACAGTGGAGTTGTTCACGCAAACCCGAAACCCTAAACCATATAGTTCAGCAGGGTTGTAGACCTCAAGCCCCAAACGGTAAACCCCGGGGTCTAGGTGTAACGCTCGAAGCCCTACACCTGGAACAATGTGTGGCTTTAGGTAGGGCTGCCAAGTACTTCCCCTTCAGTCTACGAAGGTCTGGCGCTCAGCAGCTCCAGTCGAGTGGTGCTAATGCTGGTAGGTTGAATCGAGCAGGGGCTATAGTCCCCCTTAATTAGATAGAATATGGGGTATATGGGGATCTTATTGTAATATACGCAAAGCCATATTCTATCTACTTGAGGGGGACTATAGCTGCTTTTTGTTTTTGAGCGGTTTCATCTTTTTTGTGTTCGTCAAGAAGAGGAGATGAAGTGGGCCCCCACATGTAGGTCCTGCATCCACAGCCCCAAGCAAAGAGACCAGGCTAGACCAGTATGAGGGCAGGGTCGGGGCTTGAAAGGTATACCAGGAATGTAAGAGGACCCTAATGCAATCATTACTATTCCTTTTAGTGACTATTACAGTGTGGGGGGTCCTTCTGGGGCATGCCCGAGTGCCCGCCATTCAGGATTGGTATTGTCCGAGTCTGTGGCGCAGAGAGCGAAGCCACTTGGCATCACCACTGTTTGTGGCCACCTGGGCCACTTTTCTGGGATCTTGTTTGTGACAGCATTCGATAGCATTCGTTGAATTATTTGTTTTAGCATGAGTGTGCGGCGTGCAGCCATCTGTGCTCACATGCCTGCCTTCACGTGGGGTTTTAAGTTGAAGTGTGATGTTTCTTCGGTTCAAGTTGGGAAGCGGCAGTGTTCGTGCCGCATTTCTTGGCTCGGGAGTTGCGGGCTTCAACCCGTTCTGAGTCGCACAAAATTATTCAAAAAAGCGTCAGATCAGTGCACTTGTTCGTTACTTTCGATGCGAGACATAACTGGAAGACCAAGAACCAGAAACGCAGAGCTCCAGAAGAGTTACAGGACAAGCCGGGAGATGCTTGGAAACAGGGTAGAGACTCACAGTCGTTTGAAGTGATCCGATTGGCCAATGGATTTTGGGTGAGTCTTGAATTTCTGGCATGTATTGAAGCGGGGCATAGACACTTTCCAAGCTCGCCCACAGCCCGTTTTTGTGTACGTGTAGGGCATGTCCCTCCCCTTCTCTCCCCTCTCTCCTCCTCCCTCGAAGCTTAAAGTTGCCTCCACGAAGTGCTTGAGCGTTTAGGGTGCAAGGCTTTAAGGTGTTATATCCTTCTGCCAAAGCATGCATCAGAGTAGTTCCAACCAAGATTAGTTTATGTTTGAAGCCCAACTAGATCCTAAACCGTTTTTTGCCTGAAGCACTGTTACATCGGTGACTGGCATTTTGGAAAGCAGCACTTTCGGGAACATACCAAGAAGCCATGCATCCACTGCATGAGGTTCTCTGATGCCAAGAGACCGCGCACCCAGCCGAACCCGAAGGTTCCCAGGATTTTATCCCGCCTTTGCCTCGGCTCTCAGACTCAGGGGGTTTTCTGTGTGAGAGTCCCTGGAACAAGACTTCGTAGCGTGTCCTGTATACGGGGGAGAAACTTGTGGCCCGGGCCTGGACTGCACTGTCAGGGAAAATTGGAATTGTGTTTACGTCCGGGTTTCGGAGGTTCTTTTCAATAGGGGAAACGGGGGTTCATTCACTGCAATATCCGCAGTTGCAAGATCCGAGAACGACCGACCTGAAGAGTTCAGGGTTTGGGGGGAACCTCGCCCTGCAGTCTTTCGAGAGTCCTGCATGCAAAAAGGGGAGGCCCTCGAAACATTAGGTCCTAAACCGTACACCCTGAGCCCTACACCACACACCATGAACCCTAAACGCCAAACCTTAAGGGCCCCAAACCATGAACCCTAAACATGGAGGGTTACCTCATGGCTTGAATGAGGGTTTGGAGGGCAAGTATGGCACTGAAGACTATGAGGGTGGCGGCACTGTTCGGCCGGCAGTTTGTGTAGAGTAATCTCAAACATTGGCTCAAGGAGCACTAAGGGTTTTTGTAGGGCCTTTCTGGACACCAGGATTCGGCCAGCGGATCATGCTGTAAAGCATTTTTTGGGAGGCTCGCCTGGGGAAAAGGTCCGACAAAAATTGCACTCCAAGCTTCTTCAGGGCTATGCCTACTGAGGCCTGGAAGGTCTCGCCGCGGCCAAGCCGGGCCTGGACGAGCTTTTGTCCAACCCCAGAGTGGGACCCCCTTTGCAAGGCGGCTTTATCAAGGGTTTCAGGCTTGGATCCTCGTTGTACCCATGGGTTTGGGGATCCTTTTAAGGGACTCTAGAGGACTACATTGGCTCATATAAGGGCTATGTTGGGGTTTTATAGTGGGACCCCCTCTGCAAGGCGGCTTCCTTAACCCAGGAACCCTTATATGTCTACCATATACCCTATATGTACCCTTAAGGGTCCCCTTGTGCACTGCTGTTGCTACAATTTGCGTCGAAACCGTGGACCCGGGGTCATGAACCGTCATAGAACCCTGGCCACTAATTCTTGCCAGGCCTCACCACAAAGCCTAACAAAGATTAAGCCTTAAACCTCACGAAGCCCAGCACCAAGCCCTACGTAGGATGCTAATTACTACTCCCTTCAGTACTTTCCATTTTCTTTTCCATTATCCCTTCTTAATTCGAATATCTTTAAAAGCAGTTAGTTTCCATAGTTTGTACCATACGTGCTACACCCTCCCACAATTGACGCAGGCCTCAGCCGGAAAGCCACTCGGCCACAACAGCTGTCCCTGCCCAGAAGTTGAGATTTGAGGATATAGGGATAATGGAGAAGAAAATGGAAACTACTATAATGGGTTAATAGTGGTTATACAGGAGATGTATTCGGATTTTGGAGAAGAAAATGGAAAGTACTATTTAGGGTAAGGTCCAAACGTGGTTCGGTTTGCAGGGAGGGACTACGCCTGAGTCATAACCAGGCAGTGCCACATGTAAATCCTAAACCCTAAACCCCAGTACCCTTCTTATGAGCACGAGTAGACCCCAATATACTACAAACCTTACTATGGAAACCCCCCAAGTGGTACCCCTGATTTCTAGTATCAACAGTATTATAGACTGTCCCCGAGGCCTTGCTCTTGAGGTTTTAGGGTTGAGGGTTTAGGGTTTAGGGTTTAGGGTTGAGGGTTCAGGGTTGCGGGTTTAGGGTCTAGGATGATCAGGGATTCTCAGTTGGATAGTTTGATCCGTAAAAGGCTTGAGAGTTTAGGGCTTATACCTCACATGCCTGGTAGTTGGACCCATAATGCGGTTTAGGGTTTAGGCCTTATACCTCACAATCCCTCCGATTCTCCCCAGGTAAGCCTTATGTTCGCCTCATGCAGAGTCCTCACCTGGCAACTCCCCGCAGGTCAGTCCTGCGGTCAACATCTACGAACAAGCAAGATGGCTCGAGATCATCCTAGCTAACGATAAGGAGATTTCAGTTTCCCCAACCCCTAGAATCAGGACCCTACTAAAGTCATATGATAGTTTCTTTTCAATCATGCCTTTTTCCAGGTCCTATTCAAACATCATTCAAACCCACCTAGGGCTCCAGAAGCACACTTTGCAAACCTGCACAAGATCCCGGCGTGCTAATTTTCGGCCGCATCTCGGCCTGTAAGTACAGAAGCAAGGAACCATAGCCATTCTAATCATGGTCCTGGCTAGCCCTAAACCCTAAACCCCCCCTCCTCTATCTCTTGCTGACCAGCAGCTGCCAGCTGAGGCTCAGGTGGTGATGATTGGCTCCTCCTTTGCCAAGTCAAAGGCCTCTTGCACGCAAAGCCCGTCTGATCCACTCCCCATGATATTACAACCCCCACTCCCTGATATTTAGCATTCCCAATAGAATATCGCCGCCATATTGGGAACGTTTGATATTACAGGATGCTGGGGGTTTTAGCATCAGAGGAGGGGATTGTGGAATTCCTGTGTAACCCGCTCAAGATCAGGAGACGCTAAACCCTAAACCCCTGACACATCCCCTAAACCTTGCTCCTTCAGTGCTAGGCTTTTAGCACTCCTTATACATTCCGTAGTTCCATGTTCGTTTCATTTGCCCATTTGGTAGTTTGAATGACTGAATTTGGGGGCCCCAATGTAGACCTTAAGATTGTAGAATCCTTATGTAGGGAACTCCCCCCAGCAGGGACCCCTGATCTTTGGAGAGCCAAAGCAATTCTCCATTCAGACGCGGGAGCGTCCTACTGGGCAGCAGTCGCAGGGGGCGCGGAACTGTTTCTGTTCAGGGTCTGAGGGGTTTCTGGGGGCCCTAAGGCCCTAAGCCCCTGTTGGGTGAAGATACGTGTCACATATATATATATATATGTACATGGTACTTTCCCTAAATTGGGGACCCGCAAATAGACCCCCCAAATATTATAGTCAGTATGATAGAGACCCCCAAAAAAGGTACCCCTAATTTTGGGAAACCCCCATATAGAGGGTACATCGCTACTAGCGGCCCCAAGTCTAAGCCTTAGACCAATACTCTGCAGAATGCTCAGGCCTACTACATGTGATCTTGCGCGCGTGTGACAGTTTTTTGGCGTGGTGGTGGCCCAGAATTACGGTATGCTTTCATTGTCGCTTTTCCAGAGACATGCTCTTCTGTGGAGATGCGGGGGACGTCCTTTTTGAGAAATGCCAGTGTCTGCAGACCACTTCCACTGCCAGGCATGCAAGAAGCACTGCCCTATTGTTTGCTAGGCCGGAAGAGTAATCCGCCATTGCAAGAAGGCCACCGTCCAATGGCACGGTGGTCTGAGCATCGTTCCAGACTGTTCAGATGGAAATCTGCAGCGCTGAAGTCAAAAGTAATCATCACATCTCATCACCGTACATGGGTTGTTCTCGAAACTATGGGCCGGTTTAGGTTATAGATTATACTACGGCATCTCATATGTGGCGGTACCAAAACGAGACCCTAATTTTGGGAACTATCCATATAGCTTAAGCACTGGGGCAGTCCTGGCCATTGAAGCGCTTAGCAACGAGTCCAAGGCTTCAGAAAGCTTGGATTGTCCACCAACAGGCTGCTTTGCAACTTGAATGTACCATCATGCAATCGTCGCAGTGCTAGCGGAACATTAGGGATCCGGCTGAGGGTTTAAGGCGTTCTTAGAGTTTAGGGCGAACATCAGGGAATGGATGCTCATAGTACTTGGTGAATAGTCCCTCTACTGATCACCAACATCCCGTGCTCCAATTCCATGCCAACAAGTCAACAGGCAAGACTGGTATCAGAAGACAAAGAAGACAAGAGTTTACAGAATAATGTTTTCCCTTTCAATTTCCATTCCATCGTATGGGTTGCTCTTCAGGATACCATGATATGGACATACAGCATATAGCATCGTTCCTTTAAAATGGCAACTTACTTTGAGCTTCTCAACAGCAACCCAGTCGTTCCATGCCAACAATAAGCGAAGGTTGCCCTTCACCGGATATCCAGAGCTGGGTGTGTCTCGCAGGAAAGGACGCTTTGAGTTTTAGTGCTTGGGCTCTCCTGACGAAACTTCGCGAGTAATCCGGAGCTCATTTGTTGACGGACGCGCAAACGGCTCATACCCAGCTCTTTGATCCCTTTGCCGGTTTTGCTCAAGGTTTTCAGACAGCAAAACGGTTTTCTCGAGCCCAACCCCCACTTCCACAGAAACACGCAATTCGTGTCCAGCCCAAGAGGAAAGTGGTATGCGCAAAATATGGCCCCTGATATACTCCAAGCCAAGCTGTTTTCGAATCCTCAGAATCAAGAAGTTGTTAAGAGCGTGCAGGAGCCTGTAAACGCTACGCCCTGAACGCCTAGGCCCGAAACCCCAAACCCCAAATCACCCGAACCTCTAAACTCAAAACCCAAACTTTCAACCTTAAACCCCTGAATCCCCGAATTATCACCCCCTTTGGGGCTCCTTATCCCCTATATAACCCCTATGTATCCCCCATATCCCCATATCCCAACCCTAAACCCTAAACCCTCAGGTACCCCAAACTCCTTATGAGGCTTCTAGGTCAGGTGGACCCCCCCACCCAGTACTAGTGACTATTATGGATAATAACCCTGAACCCCTAAACCCTAAACCCCTAAACCCTAAACCCTAAACCCTAAACCCTAAAACCCTAAAACCCTAACACCCTAACTCCTTATGAGGCTTCTAGGTATGGGCTGAGCTTACCATGGCCAAGGATGAAGCTGAAGGAGGCTTTTACCAACAGAATGGGTTCAGAGTTTAGGGTGTAGGATTTGGGGTTTAGGGTTGAGGGTTTAGGATTAGGGTTTAGGGTTAAGGGTTTAGGGTTACGGGTTTGGGGTTAAGGGTTAAGGGTTAAGGGTTTGGGGCTAAGGGAGTTTAGGGTTATGGGTTGAAGATCTGGGGTTCGGCTTTCGGATTCACGGTTAGAGGCTTGAAGCTTGGGGCTTGGGGCTCAGGATTTGGGGTTACAAGTAGGGTTTAGGATTTCGGCAAAAGGGTGTAGAGTTTGAGATTAGGGTGTGGGATTTCAGGTTTCAGGTGGGGTTTAGGATTTGGGGTTTAGGGTTAGGGGGCTTGGGGTGTTGGTTTTGCGGTTTCGGGTTAGAGGGATTTGGGTTCAGGGAGTCTTTTTACCAACGGAAGGTTCTTCCGGAGCATGTCCCCTCCGACCGGCAATGTGGCGGTTTGAAAAACAGAGGCCCCAAGATAGATTCTGATCTACCATAATTTGCTTGATATAGGAACTCCTTAAACCCTAAACCCTAAAGCCTACTACGCCGCTCCCATTTAGGTGACTCCCCGAGGTTGGCCATCATGTTCAGAAACTTCAATATGACAACGTAAGCCTCAAGCCCTAGACCCTCAACCCTGGAACCCGACCCTATGAATGCCCTCATATCCCCAGATACCTGTATGTAACCGTATGTCTGAACCCTAAACCCCAAACTAAAACCTAAGCCCTAGACGTTATGCGCCAGGCGTTCAGGCCCTCCAGAAGGTAAAGGATTTCCTGATTTCCACGTGCGGCTCCATCTTGAAGGCATGGCGAAGGCCTCAGGCTCTAGGCCTTTTTTCAAGGTTTTTGCCTTAAGGATTTAGGAGGGTAGGACTTGAGGATCTAGGGTTTAGGCGCTTATGAAGCCCTAAGCCCTAAACCCGGGATTTACTGTGAATTGGTTAGTGGGGCGGCCTGGAATGGTAGCAGGCCGAGGCTAGAAAGAGTTGGAGCACCTTGTGAGGTATTCTTGGTACTCAAGTGGGTTCAGGGTTAGGGTACAGTTGGGAGCCTATAGGGGCATCCTACTTTTCCGAAGCTACCATAAATGTCGCATTAAGGCTGACAAAGTTCGATGTGAATCTGGACTACCGGGTATCCAAGTTGCCTGGCAGCACTTGCTCAATTTACCCTACTCTACAGGCCCGAATAATTGTATTTGTGATTGCCTTACCACCTTTACATAAATAGTTTCAGAACCGCTCCTAATGCCTGTTTAAAGTCACTCCTGTATGTGTTGGGATTCCTCAATCATTGACCTGAAAGGAGACCTCTTGTTAGAAACTGCCAGTGGCATTTAGTCTAAATTGGAAAGAAATGATGAAGTAGGATGTTCCCTGGTAGCTCTTGTGAAAGTAGACTACATTATGGGCTTGCTTTTCAACATGTCCTGGTCCCTTTTGTGAAAGCAAGTGGTCTAACATTCACAGAAACTTTTCTATGGCGACACACAAAAAGGGACGCCCACTTCTTGCCCCCACATTTAGACACACAAAGCCAAGGATCGAATTTGTGGATGGCATGCGCTCCCTGGGATATACAGCCGGGGAGCTCCACAAATTGTTCGCTGAGATCGACGTAGCAGCTTCCCCAGATTCGATCGAAGTACTGCGATAGGTGATACTGCCGCGGTATGTGGAAAGCAGAAGCGTCCCAAGTGGCATACTGCTAATCACTATGAGGACACTCTGCAAGCAAAGCTCACCAACACTGAAGTAGGAGTCTCGTAAGCTTCCTAATTTTTTTTGCTATCACAGGAGGCCAAAACGTGGTATACACTTTGTGGCCTGTTGCCGCAAAGATTCCAACTCACCAGTTACACAGGGCTGTCCAGGGACAGCGAATGATAGATGCAGTCCCAGCCATCCCTAGACAGATAACTTTAAGCCAATATCCCTGTGAGGTCGAGTCTATTTGAGGTACCCTATACCATAGTTGTGGAAGGAACCTGGGAGCATAATGTTGGAAATTATTCAAGCCTCTACTGTATGCGCTTGTTTGGCTTAGGGTCTAAGGCCGTAAGAAAACTACAGTGCATTCTGTACATTGCCCGCTGCCCAGCTTCTATAAACTCAAGCGCAAACCTTTGCTAGGAAGCCTGTTTAGTTGCTACCAACATTATGTTCCCAGAGTCTCTGTATGATTAATGGAATCGGGTGCCTCAAATAGACCTCAAACTAAGAGTGGTTATTTTCCAGGCCCCTATACTAGACACTGAACTCCAGGCGTCGCCACCCTAACCCGGCAGCCGGGACCCCACACACAAGATGAATTGTTGTGGCAACAAGGACGGATCTGGCGAAATTGTTTTGGTCGGGCCGCCCAGGGTCACCTTTGGTGATGCTTTGGGGTAAGGGTTCAGTACAGGAGGATTGTCTTATTAGATACGACCTGTGGAGGATAAGGCTCCCACGAAACCGTGTCGCGCACAAATTTCGAACCCTAAACCCTAAACCCTGCCTAATTTCTGTTTTTGTGACTCAGCTGCATCCGACAGCGCACAGTCAGTATCCTCTTGCCGGAGGCGGTACAGTTCCCCTTCAGTAGTCTCCGTCAAGGGATGCTTTAGTCCAACCCGGATTTCCACCTTGCGATGCTGTATGGCCATGCAAGCGGCAAAACCCTACAGTCAGTGTGAGTGCTCCTTTAAACGTGTTCAATTGCAAGGCAGGCTGCAGCTGGAGCGTGGCTCTACAGGGGGTACATACGGATTGTACAGGGTTTAGGGATATTGCGAAGCAAATGGGAAAGAGCATGTTCAATTAATCGGATACTATATAAAGACTTATCAGCCGGGGGCAGCAAGAGCATTGGGGTGTTGGGGCTTAGGACTTGGGACCCCAATCTAGACCCCAAACACTATAGTACTCAAGCTAGGGACCCTCAAAAGGGTCCACCTAATTTTTGGGACCCCCCCATTTGGGGTTTGGAGTGAAGAAGGAATGGTGGCTTGCTGTTTTTACTGTTCTACACAGCCGGCCACCCATGCAGGCATGTACATCTGCAGAGTGTATGCACTTTGAGTTAGACATTTGTGAGACATGTGTTCCTGCACGTAGGTGTTGCGAAGCTGCTAACGCCTTTTCTCATGCTGTATTCCAGTTGAGGTCGGGATGTCATGAGCAAACATATGATCGCGTATCATTAGTTCTCTGTCTCTTGCCACCCTAAACACCTAACCCTAAACCCTAGACAACAAAACCCAGCTCCCCTTGATGTAGCATCCGAATAGAGTAACGGACAGCATTCATGGGTAAGGAATTGGGCCTTACTGTAAGCTCTAGAGTCTCCCTAAACTTAGGGCATAGCTTTTACCCATCCAAGCCGAAACGCGAAAGCCTTGACAATCCTAAACCCCTGAAACCCTTAAACCAAGAACGCTGCTAAACCCTAAGCCCAACATATATACTTACGTCATTAAACCTTCCTATATCCCATACCCATGAAAACCCTAAACCTTAAACCCTCAACCTGCATGCCCAGGATGAGTTGGACGAACAGGAAGCCATGCTTTGGAACACCTTCCGCTCTTGGGCCGTGCTTGCCTCATCCCCCTGGCGCTAGGGGGTTTTAGGGTTTGAGGGTTTAGGTTTTAGAAAAGGTGGCATGGCACCCCGCTAGCACTAAATGTTCCCGCTGTTGTGTCTATGATATAGTTATAGGGGACGTTTGATATTGGTGGGGGTGGGGGTTGTGGTATTAGGGGGAGAGGATTGGTATGGATTGGGGGAAGGGAAACGGAAAAGAAGCTTACCTCCTTTTGGGGATTTACGGTTTATGCTTTGGGTAGGATAGGACATTGGGAATGGGTGACACGGACTATTTTCGTATTTGATGGGGACGTTTTACTACCTAAACCCTCAACCCGAAACCCTATACCCCAAATCGCAAGCCCTTGATCAACCGTGTGTTTTGTTCAAATTTCAACGTTCTGGGTCATTTTTGGGTGCTCTCTACAATGCCAGATATGGGTGGGCTGTGTTTGGGTTATTCCCTACCTAGGGATATATAGGGTGTGGGGATATTCAGGGATTGGGGTTTTGGGATATCAAGAGGATTTACTGCAGGTCACGCCAAAAGAAAATCTGGACCTATGACTTTCATGTGGTTTTCAGAGGTCCTTACTAAAAGGGTTGGGGTCAAGAAAATCATCTTATAAAAAGACGGATGATGCGTTCGCTTTGTAGAGAAATGCCCGTGTATGCCAAGAGGTAATAGGATTGTTTGTGTATGGACATCCGCACATACTTTCGCAAAAGGCATAAGCCCCAAGCCCCAAATAAAACTTTAATGGATACTTGGTAGCGACTGCAGCTTGTGACATTTCTGTACACTTCCCAACGCATAGCCCCACATCGGCTCCATCTGAAAGGGTAGTCGTACATCTGGGGCCCCTTTTCAACGTTCCATGTGCTCGCGAAAAAGTACTGAAGGTTCAAAGCTTCGTCAGTGTTGAGGACAGTTCGCGCTTCGCTGGCAAGCTGAAATGCAAGTTGGTGAAGGGGAGCGTGTAGGGGTCATATAAGTAGATCAGACGAGTTACTTGTGGGTTGCCTTGGGGTCCTTCAGGAACTGCTTAGGGTTAAGTGGCAAGGCCTACAGCATCTGTAAGACTTGGGCCGCTTTCTGGGCATGCTTGTAACGTTTATAACGAGGGTCGGGATTCAGCGGTCAGGACCTAGGCCCTCATCTTTTGCGAAATAGGCCGCCAGGCCGCAACCCGTCAATTGTTGAGGCGTAGCCAGATTGTTCAAGGTCCTGGGAAAGTTCATGGAATTTTGACAGCCTGCGTAGCTATCAGGCAGGTGCCCATATAGGAGACCCACATAGGCCTCATGCAACAGAACCCTATTATACTTCCATGAGGCAAACATGTGTCTCACGTGGGGCCACCCACCTGGTACAGCAGCTACGCGCCTGAAACGCTGCCAACTTGGAGCAGGACATGATGCTCAGCTTGGCAGAGGAGGAAGAGGAGAACCCTTTGAGCTTTTCCACGAAGGCGCCTTTGTTGCGACCCACATTGCCGCAGTTTCCAGGGTGGGAAATGCTCTCGTCAAGGAGTAGAACACAGGGACAGACACTTGGAGGTTCAGAGTGATTGTAATCCGAATAAGGCTGGTAGTGGAACCCATGCCCAACCATACTGGGGGACGCAGGGGGCTTGTGATCGGGCAGTGCCATTCATAGTTGTGCTGCTGCACCTCCAAGTAGTTCTCAAAGATGGGGTTGCCCTAAACCCTAGACCCTATACCCCCGAACTAATCCAGTCCGTGCCTTGTCCTTTCTGCAATGACCACAGGAGGCGCACAGAAACGACCGATAGTCGTTCCCCTGTAGTTGCGCTTGAGGAAGAGACGGAAGCCCAACAAGGAAGAAAGAGCTGACAGTAAGACAGACTCAACTCTGCTACTATCAGTGATGGAAACTATGGGGATTATAGGGATGATATAGGGTTTAATAGGATCTTATAGGGATTATAGGGTATATATTGGGGTTAGCAGGGAAAGAGGGAAAATATTTTATCGGAAGTGCGCAGAGAACAGGGCAAAGACTTTCATCATGGAACGTCGCCTAGACAAAGCATCAGCGCTGCCCCTGAGAGCATTCGATGCTGCAGGATGTCGAGTGCATCCCCAAAGAGACCTTCTGCTCCAAACTTAGGTTTAGGGTTTAGGGTTTAGGGTTTAGGGTTTCAAACTTGGATTAAATTGTTGCTCTGGGTCAAATCATCTCCCCGTAACATTACAACCTTCAACCCCCCATAATAATGAATATTTCAGTAAAGTAAATAGCATTGGGGAGATCATTCTTCTCAGCGGGGGTGTGTTTTTTTTCCGCATTAGAGAAGTGACTAGTGAGTCCGAGATGATTGGGTCCAGGATTGGCGGATCTTTAACTGGACCATGTTTGTTTTGGCAAAGACCCACCCAAAAATGGGCTTTGGTGAAAGCTCTACATAGTCCACCCATGAACATTCTGGAATCACGGAACCCAAAAGAGCTTCCACTGACATTTAGGCTTGGACCCAACCCTGGAACCATGCAGAGCCTGGACATGGGATGTACTTGTAATGATGGAGCCCCGGAGTTTTGAAATGCACGAGCCATAGCCAGATTATAGTTGCCAGCATGCATTGCAGTGAGGGGAAGTATTCCTCTCGATGCCCTACGCCTTGTCGTCTACTATCTGGGGATCGAAATTCCCAGCCGACAATTTCTCCCGAGGCAAAAGACTGCCGGAGCTCAATTGGAAGGTCGCCACTCGGAGGGTTTCTTGGGTTTTAGGATCCAAGTTCAACCGGGCTCGGTAGTAGGAGCTGATAAGCACCAGCCCCGCTGTTTAGGACCCCGAAGCCAGGGGTGGTGCCGCACTGGGAGTCTAGTCTGTCGCTTCGTGGGAAAAAACCAACTTATGACTAGGGAATGTTAACCTGACAATAATAGCATCCCCCCGATTTTGTTTTGCGTTTTCGGCGTACGGAGGCCAAGACAGGGGTGTTAGCAATTAAATCCACAGGGTGGGGGTAAGACTAGGTAATGCAGGTGGTTGTAATGGTAGTACAAGTAGAAGGAAAGCTGTTAATATCGAGATATGTTGGGGCGAACAGTATTATCATTGTCACCAGTTTTTGCTCGCTGATGGAACTTGTTTTAGGTTTTCGGGCTCCGAATGATAACAAAGCAAAAGTAGTCGTCCGGAGGTTTTCTGTCCCGGCGGGAATATACGATTGTTTTTTTGTACATGGTAGGTTAGCATTAATAGCCTATAGTCTCTGATGAGCACTATTTCCATTATCATCTCTGAGCATTATAGATAGCATTCGTTTTTTCCCAAAACATGCCTACCTAGGTTTGTGGGGGGGTTCGACACCTGGGATCCGCGCTCATCCCGCAGATGAGGAGATTAGATTTTGAAAAAGCACTTTTCGCGCGGTCTTCCAAGCACCTATCAGTGCAATGGTTAGCTACTTGGAGGTTCGCGGAAACTGTAACCCCGCCCAATCATAAGCACCCTGAGTCTCCTAATGCGGTTCTAAAATGGTTTAACAATATCAGGTATCGTTGGATTATGCGTAGAGCTTTGCCAGTCTTAGATTCTGACGAACAATGCAAAAACCCTTCCGGCTCATCAAGCTCTGCAGCTTCTTCATTTGTCAACATCAGGGTCTGCGGTATCGCGTCCAGAAGTTGTATTTCTTTGTATGTGGGAACCAAAGCGGGCTAAAGGTTCGGACACCTTGATTTTATTTCTTACCAAAGTGACCAGACAGCCCTTTCCTGTTGCCATATGGTAGACAAAGGAAATCTTGGACTGCGTTGCAAAGCCTATACCTCAAGAAATACAGTCTTTTGGGGATCCCAAGTGGTGCAAGATTTCTTCCATCCACTCCGTAAAGCCTAAAAACCTTAAACCTTTAAACCCTAGATTAAATTAAGCTCTACCAGAAACGCATAGCCAACAGCTCTGTGAGGCCGGGCACGAAGAACTCCTTTTCTCGGTTCTGGATATGGACGCCTGGATCATCTTCCTGATGCTTCAAGGGTTCACGGGTTTAGGGTTTCGGGCTTAGGGTTTAGGGTGTGGGGTCCTGTGAAGGAGTAAATTTAGGATCATGGAGGTCTATGTGATCGTTTATGGAGACAGTTATCGGTATGCAGTTCCTCCTGCCGTAGTACCAGTCATACCAGACAGTAATTGTTGCATCAAAGCTGATGTTCTCCATTTTTTGGGTAGACGTATGTATATTTACATTTTCATAGATTCAATTCCGTCTCAACACAGATCGTATCCCCCTTCTGCGTTGTTTCATGCAGACTTTGAGCTCCAGCTCAGGACAATGATGCCCTCTTGAAGCCACACTGCTTGCGCCCGATGCCTAGCAAGGAGAGTTTGCAGGATGTGGAGACTTTCGCAGCAGACGTATGTGAAATACTTGGGGTGTTGTTACACAAGGTTGAAGCACTGATGAAGGTTTTGTCTACATTTAAGCGTTTTAACCTCCTGTAAGGAGTTTAGACTATAGCTCATTTGCGGAAAATCTGGAGAGGCTTTAGCCTGATAAAAACCGGACCCGAAATCAGAAATCCTTGCGATAAGGTTGGTTGGGCATCGAGCTGAAGCGTCTCCAAAAAAAGCGTTCCGCGAAAGCAAGCACTGTCAAGGCCCCTCCCAAGCTTGATTGAGTAGATAGAATATTGTACATGGGGATCATACTTTAATACACCAAAAGGCAGCTGTAGCAGCAATAGCAATCCTGAGAGAATGGAGCCATGGTCAGGACCCAGACATGGGTTACATAGGGGTTATATAGGGGCCACATTCTATTGGGGTTATATAGGGATAATGGAAAAGAAAATGGAAACTACTATAAAAAATAGGGTATATATTGGGGATATATTGGGGTTATGTAGGGATAATGGAAAAGAAAATGGAAACTACTATTTATTTAGGGTTTGCAGGTACTAATCAAGGTAATGATGAGCATGTTGAGGATGGCCCGAAGCACCCCCGCAAGGCTGAATCCCCTAACATGGGAGCCTGAATAATTACCAATGTTATAGTTCCATATTCCTTATATAATTATGGTCTATGGTACCTCGAATGGACCTGAAAATCATATTGGTACTTATTTAGGCCCCTGTAGTAACCCAACCTCGCTTAAGCCCTAGATCCCGAACTCCTAAAACCTAAACCCTGAAACCCTTACCTTGGAACACAAAAAGTTGGATGCCATAGAGCTTGCGGTGGAGTGATAGAGCGGTGGATAGATCCCGGTTTGGGATTCAGGTTTAGGGCTTAGGGTTTTGGGTTCAGGTATTGGGGTTTTGGAAAAATTCAACCGGTCAGTTAAAGAACTCCATTCAACAACCCCTCAACCCCAATTCCGCTAGAACCTAAAGCCAAGGAGCCTTTATGTGAGCATTTTCTACAGCGGGGATCTGGCAGACATACGCTCAAACATCAGTTCCAATCCTTGAGCCCAACAGCCCTCAACCCTAAATCCTTAAATCCCGAAACCCTCCAATCCCAAAACCTTAAGTTTTAAGTCCCCAGCGGCCTTCTTTTCGCAAGAAGAAGCCTTCTGGACTCCAGCAAAATATGATGGAGCAAGAGCCACTAGGTGGCAGTGGGACTGAATAGGAGGGTTTCCTGTGATAATAATGGGGGATAATGGAACAGAAAATGGAAACTACTACAGGGATTATAGGGTCTATATTGGGGTTATATAGGGATAATGGAAAAGAAAATGGAAACTAAAGGGATTATAGGGGTTATATAGGTGTTATAATGGGTTATATAGGGGTTATAATGGAGAATCAAAGGGAAAAGAAAATGGAAAATGACATGGTAACTGGGATTATTGGGCTAATAGGGGTTATATAGGGGATATATTATAGGGGTTATATAATGGGGATCCAAACACGGACCAATATTTGGCAACCTACCTTTTGAGGGTTTAGGGCTTAGGGTTTTAGGGTTGGCTGCGGGCAGTACCCAGAATTTACCTTAGGTTCGGCTTGATCCAGGGCTCAGCGTTCACTAGTTTGGAGGCACGGGGTTTAATGGGTTTATTCCAGGGATTGGAAAGTTGCGTTATCCAGGTTCAGTACTTTAATGGAATCCTAAAGAACACGTTCGTTCCTGAAGGACTATCTTGGGGCCAGGGTTGGGGAACTTTTGTGGGGCACGACCTCCGGGGTACATCCCTGGAACGCGTGCGTTTAGGGTTTAGGTGCAGCAGCATGACACTGAACTGTCAGGGCCTTCTCGTGCAGCCCTGACCTTGGGTCAAGAAATCGTGTTGCCTTGCGCTGCGTTGCGTCATATTTCTGGCAAAATCTCTATCCCAGCAAAACTTCACACCCTTAACCTTAAAACCTAAACTCCGCGAGCCCCACACCCCGAACTTCTCCAGAATCATGGGAAAATTCTACAGTGGAATCTACAGGAGATGATCGGAGAGTATATAGGCCCTTTCTGCTCACACGAGGAATTAGGTGCTTCAGGTTAACCTCCTCTAGATTCTACTGTAGTAAGCTTTGCTGGTGCAACCTTTTTTTAGATGCTGAGGCTGCTGGAGTTTAAAGAGGACCTCCGAAGAAGGCCGGACCTTCGCCAAAACGGGTGCCCTTACAGGGGTTCTACGGGTGTGCTTTAGGTACACGTAGGAAGGCGTAGGGCGCAAAGGGACATGATACATTCCTGGGAATGTGTACGGTTTGTGGTTCAAGATTTCTTGTTGATTTTTGCCTGAAGTTGCCTCTATAGCAGCAAGGACCATAATGCTCGATGCCGGGACCGAACTGTCGAGGAAACCACGTGTTTCCTTGAAGCATTGCTTGCGTCAGGCATCGCTATTTGCGTCAGTAGATTTTTTCGGCTTCATCCCGGAGGTACTAGAACTGATAGCGGTGGAACGGATTTTCGTTGAATCGAACTCAGGCTAGTTCGAAGCCCAAAACAGACAATGTCCCCAAAACCTTCTAAGTTCGCTCGGCAGATATGCCGGTTGCCTGATCTCAGGAGAGAACGTGCCAAAGGATAAAAACGGTTCTTGCAGTTTGCAGGACAGGCCTCAAGTCGTGCTTGGATCGGATAGGAATCATCATGCGGTCCTGTATGGCTATGCAGCTATGCAGGTGGCGAAAGTCCTAAACCCCTAAATCCTTTACTTGTACACCTTAAACCCGGCTTTGTTGCGCAGCTAGGTTCGGTGGTGGTAACCTCACCCGTGCGTGGCGTGTGGCGCTCTCCGACACGAGCGTGCTTCCGAGGACACGTTTTCTGAAGGCCGGGCTGTGTTTTTGCTTGTTTAGGGTTCAAGAAGAGAAGCGATTGAAAGACAATACATACGACCGTACTACTGGGGATTGTCTAGGGGCCACTGCACGGATTTGCTCTGGCTCTTTCCGGTCAGGTGTCACAATAACGAATGAGGTGACGGTGGTAGTAGTGTCCTTTCGGCAAGACTCATAACAATGGCACTGGAAACGGTATAGATGGTCGAACCATTTGCAGCGCTCAAGTAATGAATCCGTCAGTGGTTTACAAATGAGGCGATGCATTTGTAACGGGCCCTCGCGCTCACTTCGGGGTTTTTCGATCATTCCAAGCGGTCTGGTAGACACCACCTGGAATTGATGCAAATGACTGCACACGACCTGAAGGGTCACATGTACCCAAACCCTGTTGAAATGACGGACCTAGCTGGTAAGGCCTTCCAGAGGCCAGAAGCAGGATGGCAAAAGGTCCACCCAGGATCCTTTGGGGAAGTGTACACAACTTTTGTGAAGCAACTCCATTCTACGCGATTTCTTGGCTTTCGTTCAATTCAGGTTAATGCTAGGTTTGCCTCCCTAGGGGCCATCCCTCAACATAGGGTGCGTTCCATGCCGGCCCCCAACTTCGTGAGAGAAACCCGCGAGGCCTGTGCCAAGATGGGATATGCCAAGAAGGGCAAAGACCTCTGGAAGATGTTGCTGGGCCATCCTTCGGTTTGCCGTTAAGGAAGTTCGCGTGATACGCACATGTGGTGAATAACAGCGTTTCCTCAATGCTAGAGAGAGAGAGAGAGACGGAGTTGTACCGGATTTGGGCTGGATTCTGAACTAGTCCTGTTGTCTGCGTGGCGCTGTGTGTGGTCGGTAGCCGGGACCTGGAGCAGTGCTGCGGATCAGAGTGTGCGCCTGCTTGGAGCTTTGCTCCAGCCCTCCCTTCACCGGGGGGTAAAAGCAGAGAGAGAGATAGAGAGACAGAGCGAGAGAGAGAGAGGCAGTTAGAGCGAGAGAGAGAGAGTCAACAATGGAGAATCCGTATTGGGAAGACTTGGGACCTTGGCGGTGGAATGGACTGGACATGTGCGGGGCTTGAGGCGCAGATTCAGCATTCCTCCTTGGGGGGAGTCTCGAAGAAGAACAAGGAAAAAGAGAGAGAGAGAGAGGGAGGGAACCAACCCTCTCTCCATAGCCTGAACGAAAGAAAGAAAGAAAGAAAGAAAAAGAGAATGTAACTTGTGGAGTTGGGGCTGTGCCCCGGGGATGCCACTGGCTGCCCTATCTCCGAAATAACCTGAACAGCAACCCAGTCCCTGCGTATTTTTTTGGCTTGCTGGTAATTTTCATGTCGTATATAGACAATGTAATCCAATTCATTTTGGAGGCGCTGCCCTGAAGAGCAGTTGGTAGGCATCATTGCCCAAAGTTTCACACAATGAGCAGTCAAGGCTAGACAAAACTAGCAGCGGCTTCGCGTCCATAGACGAGATCGACCCGAAGACCTCGCAGGTGTTGGCCCATTTGAGCCATAATCATAATCCAATCTCCTTCAACAGGGTTCTATAACGGATTATATAGGGGACTACTATAGGGTTATTAAGGGGGACACTTGGGGTATAGACTATGGCCCACTTCAAATCTGAACCTTAAACCTTAAGTAGTAAGCCGCCTCGTATTTTTGGAAAAAATGTTTTAACGGCCAGTCAATGGTGGCTGCTACACTTTGGGTATCCCCTCAATAACAGCTAGATAATAAGTATAATATAGTTATATATAGCCCTTAATAGGACCCCTACTGTAGACGGTTACTGGGTGGGGGCAGTACCCAAGCTAAACCCCTAGACCCCTACACCCTAGGCCCCTAAACCCTAAACCCTAAACCCCCAAACCCCAAACCCTAAATCCTAAACCCTAAACCCTAACCCCCTAAACCCTAAACCCTTAACCCCTAAACCCTACCTAGGTGTTGGCCCACTTCAAGAAGTTCCTGGATGAGCGCTTCAAAGATTATCATGCGGCCTTTGAGGAGCTGGACCTTGATGCTAGGTGTAGTCCTTTGGCATATTTTTTTGTTTAAGGGTTTAGGGGCTAGGATTAAGGGCTTAGGGGTTAAGGGGTTAAGGGGTTAAGGGTTTAAGGGTTTAGGGTGTAAGGGTTAAGGGTTTAGGGTTTAAGGGCTTAGGGGTTAAGGGTTTAAGGGTTTAGGGTTTAAGGGCTTTAGGGTTTAGGGCTAAAAAAATTGGTGGTCTTTGTAAGCCGGGTTTCTTCTTCCCATGGGAACATGTGAATGTTTACTCGGTATCTGGGGATTAGATAGGCTACATAGGCTACATGGAGCACAGATGGACGGACCATTAACAAAATTAATTCCTTCTTGTAACAGCCTCACCTGACATTACTCCAAATGATGGTTTACATAGGAGACGGTCCAAAGCAGCTTCATTTCATGGTTACAAGTTTTGTCCTTGGGCTTCGTACGATTTAGCGGCAGAACCATGAGGACGGCATCCGTAAGATCCGCCAGCGTCAGTTTCGCGAGGGTCTGCTAAAGCTACGCTTCCCCTTCCACAAGCAGGCAGCCACGCCCCTTGGCACGCTTTTCGGGTTTAGGGTTAAGGGTTTATAGGGTTTAGGGATGTAGGATCAGGTTAACTGAACCTTACGTCATATCATCCAAGCTTTCGTTTCATTTTCCACTTTCTTGTCCGTTTGAGTCTCGATTATGGCAGAATTCTCCCTAAACCCTCAACCCTGAAACCTACATCCCAAACCCCAAGCCCATGACCCTAATCCCTAACGTCCCTTGGGGCTTCTGCTTTGAGATGAAGGTGGAGGGTCTGGGTTTAAAGCCCAAGACCGATTTAGGGTTTAGAGTTTTTGCCTCAGGGCTTGGACTTGAGGGTTTCGAGTTGAGGGCTCAGGGTTTAGGGGTTCGGTCCTCAAGGGGAGCCTTTACAAAATAAGCGTGCGCAGGTTGCAGAAAAAGCAACAACACAGAAACCAGCATACCATAGTCAGTATTTCCAGTAGCCCCTCACGGAAAAGGGGCCCTAATATTTGGAAACCCACGAATCAGAAAGCGCAGCTGAATACCAGAAGAAGAGACGTTGTGACATACAGTCTAGAAGAGCATGAAAACATGTATGTGGGTCCAGCGGCATAAATCGCCAACGGTCCATTGACATATCCATATATCCCCAGGGTTTTGGGAAGGCACCGATGCACACACGCGGCAGTGGGCAAAAACATCCCCGCGGTCCCTGATGATTGAACTTTGTGGGCTTATGTTTCGGTTCTAGGTACAGGTAATTATAAGTAGGCTGCAATTGCCTTAAACCCTAATCCCTGAAGCTCCAAGCTAGGGTTCAGGGTTTCAAGCAACACGGCTTTGGCTGTTTCCCTTGCCGCATGTTGCTAGGAGCCCAGATGCAAGAAGTGTCTAGGGCAAAGTAAGCAACAGCGTTGATACCGAAAATGCTGCATGTCTCTGGGATACCAGGGCAGCAAGATTCCCAAAGTATGGGTACCCTGATTCAGGCAGGATTTGTAGGATCGACCGCCGTGCGTGTCCCCAAATTTATAGCGTTTAAGCAGTGTTGGCGAACACCGCAATCCAAGGCTCTTTGCGGCCTTGGATCTGGATGGCAACCACGTGATCGATGAGGACCTTTAAGAATTAGACCTGACCCTGGACTCCACCCATTAAATCCTAATCTACAACCCCAAACAGGCCCTTCGCCATAGGACGACTTCCACTTCCTTGAGAAGTGGAGCCCGTTGCCTTTCCTCACCGCCCATCCAAACTACAAGGCCCCTGGCCTTGCAGAGATCAGGGTTTAGGGTTTAGGGGTTTAGGGTTTAGGGTTTAGGGTTTGAAGGATCATAGTCTAGAATCCAGATGAGCTATAGTCTAAACTCCTTAAGGGGGGTTATATAGGGGTATATATAGGGGACTACTATAGGGGATATTAAGGGGGATACTAGCAGTTTAGACAGTGGCTCAGATGACGCAGGGGTGTACTTGTTGTTGGGATCCTTCTAGGCCTGTCCCCGAAGTCTTAAACATCCCACCTACCCACTGAACTATGTGTTCCAGCATATTTGGTCTAGGATTCCAAATCCTAAACCGCATGCAAGGGTTGTACGGGGACAGTGGAAAAGATCAAGGCACATGATCGTTACCGGTTCTTAGTACCGAATAAAGGAATAGAATCCCTACATGATTATTACCCATGAAGACTCATCTAGGCTTGTTGCAAAATTTGCAAAAGGGTGCACTACTGTGCCACAAACACAACTACGACATTTGCCTTGCGAACCCCGAAGCATAACCTCAAATCGAGTCATAGACCCAATAGAAGCCCCAAACTTTTGATCCCATTAATCCCAAACAACATCTCAGCTCCGTACTGAGGCGAGGGAAGAGATTCAGAGGGTGCTTATCCATCGCTACGGCCGTCCAGTGAAAGTGTGGCACGCGGCTCAGACGAGTAGTACTTTATCTGGGGAGTTTATGGTACTTGATTTCACCCTCCTTTTGGGTATAGTATTTCATATACAGAATATAATCTTACTGGGCTCAACCACCAAAACCCTAAACCCAAACCCTAACTCCAAAAAACACTATTCAGATGAGTTGCAGTCCGTAGGCTGCGGCCAGGGATGCCCGGTATTGTATCGTGGCTCGTTGCTGACCATAACTTTCAACCTGTATGGCTGGTTTCGTTGAAAAAAGGCTTCTTTGATAAGGATAGTGACCCTGAAGCCTAAGCCTAAATCCCCAAGAAGAAATCCCAGATTTTGAGATACCGCCATGCAGATCTATGCTCCTCTTCCGCGGTGGATGAAAGTCTTTCCCCTCTCCACGGATGATGCACGCAGTTTAGGGTGGAGGAAGGATTGAGGGCAGGGCCGAGGGTTTAGAGAAGCCATTTTAGTAGTACTTTATTTGGGGCTACTATGGTACCCACTACAGAGTAAGATTATATCCTCCTTTTGGGGTATAGTATTTTATATAAGGAATATTATCTTACTAGGTTCAACCACCAAAAAACACACTACCCATTTAGGCCCTCCAACAACACATATTTCTTATCGGGGGGTGAGGGTTTATCTTTACGGGAGGGGATTACTTGCCAAGATTCTGTGCCCTTGTCCACATGTCCTCTTATCACGGGGCGGAAGGCGGGTTTCCAATCTCTTTTTGGCAGGTCCCCGGAATCAGGATTATAGCATTTTAGGGTAGAATGGGCAAAGTATGGGACCTTCTACAAAGCCTTCGTTAGGGACCACATGATCCCTTGAAAATCTCACGTATTCCTCGGGTTCCTACTTCGAGGTCCTCTGGTAGTTCTTCATAGTTGTCCGTCGGCCTAAGTCTACGTCCTCCAAGTGCCTTAGTTCGGTTGTACTGGACCTTCAAGGATAGGTATAGTCCCCCTTAAGTAGATAGAATATGGCTTTGGGTATTTTATAATAAGATCCCCATATACCCCATATTCTATCTACTTAAGGGGGACTATATATGTAGGTTATACATAGTACCCCTGGACTGAGGGTACCTCGATATAGCACATTGGTAGGAGGAACCTCCTGGATCGTGATGGGAGCAATCGTGCGGGGCTCAGATGCTTTCTTGTGGTTAGTGGAGAATAGTCGTTCTTATAGAACCCCATAATACAGTCTTACTTTATGCGCTCTAGAAAGTTGTAACTGGCCCCACAGCCTACTAACTCCCGGAAAGTCTGTCGTGCGAGAAGTTGACCCGTCCTGGGATCACTGCACATTTGCGTGTGTTTATCTTGAAGCTCAGATGAGCGTTTCCCAGAAATTGGGCCTTAAACTTAAAATTCTTATACACGTAGAAAGGACTATTGTTGGGAGGCATATACACGGCGGACATCAGCACGGAATGCCATAAAATAATCGGAGACAGAAAGTTGATAATTAGAGTTTAGGGTCAGGCTTTAGAGCCGCTGGGCTTGAATAAAAGGCTTAGGGTTCAGGGTTTAGGGTGTAAAATGCAAAAATCATAGGATCTGTGTTGCAAAGATCTCCAAATGAGCTGTGCATGCTGGGGAAAGACAGGCCTTGCTAAGGGCTTGTTTTCATCCCGAGAGTATTCCCCGCTAGTGATAGTATAACCTAGTGTAACATAGTTGACTCCAATACCATACTTGGAGGCCCATGGGACTTAGTAACTAATTATAACCGGGCTCATAACCCTACTTATAATCCCCCAAAATGGGCTTATAGGGGTTAGCCCAATTCTAAGTCGGGTTATAATCCCAGTTATTAATGGTTACTCAGTCCAATGGGCCTCCAAGTAGAGCATAGACTAGCATAACGGTCCCCATAACCTTCTGAACTCCCAGAAAAGGGGCGTATCCTATCCTCGTTCCTAGGTCCATCCTCAAAGTCCACCTCTCCGCACACGCAATAGGGTTTAGGGTTTAGGGTTTTGTGGGTTTAGGATTCAAACCCTTAGGGTGCAGGATGTAGGGTTTAGGATTTAGCGAGTTTGTGTATCTGCTCATGTCCACTGGGTTCACTTTCTGGCGGAGCCTGCTGGAGTCCAGATGCAAGAAAGGATTTAGGGTTTAAGGTTCGCGAGTGTTTGCATAAGCGCCCAGGCGGGCAAGTTGGGCTGGTACTCAAGACCCACTGCAAAAAGGTTCAGGAGTTTGGGTTCAGGATTTAGGCGCCTGTGTCACGCGACGGCTTGGTGAGGCTGCAACTGGCACGAATTCCTGTTCGCCTGCAAGACATGTGGCTACCATGGCTACGGCCTAAGCATTGCTAGGGTTTAGGATTTAAGGATTTGGGCTTGGGGTTTAGGCTGCAATGCTAGTACTCTGGGAATGAGGCTCAGGATTGAAGCTCGTACTTGCAGTTACAGAGAACGGTAGTGGTTCTTCAAAAGCCTGCCTCGGCAAAATCCACCTAGACCACCACAATCTCCGATTCCGTTTCATGTTTGCTTTCCTTTCCATTTGATTCTTCATCATTCCGTTGTAAATCATCCTCTAAACCTTAAACTCTAAGCGCCCAAGACTTGCCTACCTTTAGGGTTAAGGGTCCACACCATGGTGATCCTTGGGATGTTCCTGTGCTATTCATTGAAGAAATCAGGATCCTCTGGGGAGTCATTGTTGCAAGTCCTGCTTCACAGCGAAGCTAGCTGACCTAGCTAACTAAAATGCCTGAAGATTGATTAGAATCACACACAACCATAGTTCCAATCCTACAAGCGCCATGGAGACGCACAAAAAGAAACAAGCTTATCTATTTGTCTGTTGCAGCTTCTTTCTGAAACCCTAAACCCTAAGCCCTGAAAGGATACACAAAGAGATCCCCTAACCAGATGGAGCTGAGTATACGCTCATGCCAGTATGGTCCTTGTGTTCCCCCAAACCTTGCTCAAATTGGGTTTCTGTCTTTAAACTTAAATTAACATGGGTACATATATTGTAATTAGCATTGTTTCCCCAATATGGTAACTTAAATAAAGTTCCGTAAACAGCAACCCAGAAAAGTCATAGCCTCATTTTGGGGCTCCTCCTTCTTTCAGTTTGACCGTCGTGGTATTGAGACGTAGTCGCGTAGCTGACGTCCACTTTCCCGGTGCGGACGACAATGGTGTGTCCAATTCTACAATACCGATTTTGAATTCAGTCCTAAAAGTCTTTCAACTCTACGTAGAGGCTGACTCACGCAGCTTGTGCTTCATGTACGCTGTGACCACGTGCTCGTGTTGCAGCGAACTAGTGAAGGATACCTCAGTTTGACCTCAACGTGCCATAACGGCACCTTGAGATGCCAGTAGTCCCCCAGCCTATGACCCTCAACCAATGGTACAGTACTGATCCTCAACCTGCCTACATGACCTGTAGATAAATTGCTCTTGGCATTATGCTCATTACAGATTGTCACTGGGTGGCCCAGTGCCCAACCCATGACCTTCAAACGGCCTGGCCTAAACCCTAAACCCTACTACCAGCTCAGCCGATGGCTACCCCTGGCACAGAAAAACGTGGAAGGCGCTTGAAAGACTCTAAGCCCTAAACCCTAAAACCCTAAAACCCTAAACCCTAAACTCTAAACCCTAAGCCCAAAGCCGTAAGCCCTAAGCCCTAA